AAAAATAAAAATAAAATAAATGAATGAATAAATGAATGAGTGAAAGAATAAATAAATAAATTCCAGTTTTTCTGATATAAGTATGGCTATTCTGGCTTTCTTTTGACTTCCAGTAGCATTATAGATATCCCCTCACTTTCAATCTGTAGGTGTCCTCAGGTCTAAAATGAGTGCCTTGTAGACAGCAAATAGATGGATTTTGGTTTTTTTTATCCATTCTGCTACCCTTGTCTTTTGATTGGAGCATTTAGTCCATTTACATTCCATGTTATTACTGAAAACTGTGGGTTTAGAGTTGTTGTGTTCTCTGTAGGATTCATGCTTGTAGTGGTGTCTCTGGTACCTTCTGTTCCTTGCAACATTTCCCTCATAGAGTCCCCCTCAGGATTTCTTGTATGGTTGGTTTAGTGGTGATGAATTCTTTCAATTTTTGATTATTTGGAAAGACCTTTATCTCTCCTTCTATTCTGAATGACAGGCTTGCTGGATAGAGGATTCTTGGCTGCATATTTTTTCTGTTCATCACATTGAAGATTTCCTGCCATTCCTTTCTGGCCTGCCAAGTTTCAGTAGATAGGTCTGTCACCACTCTGATAGGTTTCCCTTTGTATGTGAGGGCCCTTTTCTCCCTAGCTGCTTTCAAAATTCTCTCTTTGTCCTTGTATTTTGCCAGTTTCACTATGCTATGTTGTGCAGAAGATAGGTTCAAGTTATGTCTGAGGGGAGTTCTCTGTGCCTCTTGGATTTCAGCGCCTCCCCCAGATTGGAGAAGTTCTCTGCTATAATTTGTCCAAGTACCCCTTGAGTGCCTTTCTCTCTCTCTTCCACTTTTGGAATTCCTATGATACAGATATTGTTCCGTTTGATTGTATCACTCAGTTCTTGAATTCTCCTTGTGTTCCTGGATCAGTTTATCTCTCTTTTTCTCGACTTCCTCTTTTTCTATAATTGTGTCTTCGAATTCACCTATTCTCTTCTCTGCCTCTTCAATCCGTGCATTGGCCACCTCCATTTTATTATGCACCTCATTTATAGCATTTTTTAATTCATCACAACTATTTTTAAGCTCCATAGTCTTTGTAGCAATAGCCTCTCTGATGTCTTCCATGCTTTTTTCAAGGCCAGCGATTACTTTTATGACCACTGTTCTAAATTTTTGTTCAGTTCAGTTTGCTTATATCTGTTTTGAGCAGTTCCTTAGCTGCCACTTCTTCCTGGAATTTCTTTAGAGGAGAGTTCTGTTTCGTCATTTTGGCTAGCTTTTTTTCTCTTGTCAGTTTTAAAAGCTTTTTATGCGCTCTGCACCTGCAAGTACTGCTATATTGAAGAAGGCTCATTGACTCTCCAGGGCCTGTCCATTCAGGAAGTGTTCTTTTAATGGTGTCTGTTGTTCTCTCTTGTTGAGACTTTGGTTATTTTATTTCCCTACTTGTAGTGATATTTGGGACTCTCCACCATGTGTACTTTGGCTTGTTTCTTGAGGTAGCCCAATTCCTCCATCCTCACACATCACCAAGTGACACTCGCAACTCTCAAGGTGCAGGAGAAAAACCAAGCACAAATCCCAAGTGTGGAGACTGATTTGCTTCTATGCCAGCCATTTGCTTTTGGGGGAAAAAAAATGACAAAAAACAAAAAAAAAAACCCTCCACTTCTCAGAATACAGCTCCCAAACCTCGCTGCTGGACCAGGAGCCAAAGCTGTGAGCTTCTCCTACTCCAGCTTCTCCTCCTCCCAAAAATTCACTTTTAAACGAAAGCTCTGAAACTCTCGACGGAATTGATTGCTCTTTCTTTCTTGTATAAAACACTCATTGCATGAGTAAGTTGCTGGTTTCCTCCACTAGACAGTGAGTCCTTGAGGAGGAGGAAACCAGCCCTCTTAATTTTGTAGTGTGTGAGCCCATCCCGGTGCCTGGCACACAGTGGAGTTGGTAGGTATTTCCAAAACTATTACAGGGTTTTCTCTGAGAATCTATTTTTCTTGAGTCTTTGACTAGTGCCTCCTCACTTTACTTGTCCAAAGGCACCCACGGGTCCTTTAACTCTGGAACAGTGGAGCACTTGTTCCTGTCCCCTTGGTAAGCGAGAAAGGGCCCCTTAATGCTAATGAGCAGGAATGCCCATATGGCAGGTCAGCAAGCTCCTGTGACTACAGTAATGGACAACTGTTAGCGGCCTGAACTCAGGCTCCTTTCCATCCAGGATACACTTGGGAGGCACTGTAATTATTTCTGTCATTTTCCAGGACTGAATTCCTAACAGAGAATCATATTATGTATTTTTTTTTTTATGGTTATTTACTTCTGAGAGAGAGACAGAGTGCAAGCAGGAGAGGCACAGAGAGAGACACACACACACAGAATCTGAAGCAGGCTCCAGGCTCTGAGCTGTCAGCACAGAGCCCAATGCTGGGCTTGAACTCACGAACTGTGAGATCATGACCTGAGCCGAAGTTTGTATACTTAACTGACTGAGCCACCCAGGTGCCATGTATTTCTATTTGTATATAAAAGATAATATGACACTATAGGATTTTGGATAATCAAGGAAAAAAAGGCAGACCTATTTTTCCTTTTTGCATATTCCCTTCTAATATTATCTATATAAATATTTACGCTGTATAGTTTGCACATCTTTGGTGCATTGTATACGTGAAAGTGTTTCATTGTATACATGCTCTTCTTCTAAATCATCAGTGTTCAAGGGTGCACATTCCAGCAGGTTAATGAACTATGATTCTAATAATCTCATAGTGTGCATACAGTCATCAAAGCTGTAACATCTAAACCCATCAAACTGTTGTTTAAGGAAATGACAGCTAAAACCAAGACAGAGATGCACCAAAACATGGAAGATGAGCTACAGAGAGAACACTTGGCTGCGGAACAACGCATGTTGCATAGAATCCAAAGGATTATGATGGAGTGCCACAAGGAGAAGGTCCAGGCTGTGGAGAAGGCCAGGATGGAAGAGAGAAAGATGGCCCAGGAGGCAATCCAGGCCCAGAAAAGGTATTCCAGAATCACATTTGCAAATCAGTATCTTACTCTGGCCACATCAACTTAGAGAAAGGGATAAGGTTGAGGCACATAGGTGGATAGTTTCCAGTTTCTGTGTTTTTACATTTTTAAATGTTTATTTATTTACCTTGAGAGAGAGAGAAAGCATGAGCAGGGGATGTGCTGAGAGAGGAAGACACAGAATCCCAAGCAGGCTCCGAGCTGTCAGCACAGAGCCCAATGCAGGACTCTAACTCACAAACTGCAAGATCATGACCTGAGTTAGAGCTGGATGCTTATCTGACTGAGCCCCTGGGCACCCCTGTGTTTTTACATTTTTATTATGGAATATATCAAACATAGATAACAATATACAATACGTTGTATAGTGTGTATGTATGTGCATGGTTTACACAAAAATAACATGAATAGTCAATGACCTACCACTCATCTGAAGAGACCAAAAATTGCTGATGCTTCTGAAGCTGCCATGTATTGTTCTTCAATCACATTTCCTTTCTCTCCACACTCTCAAGAGTTAACTACCATCATAAATAATGTGTTTTTCATTCTGATTCTCCAGTTTTAAGAGGCTAAGGAGAGAAATAAGGAAATACTTCTCCCTATAAACACATAAAAGTCAATCTTCACATTCTCTAGCTGGTATTATACAGTAACATCGATGTGTTACTTTTGGTCTTTTTCTTATTACACAAGTGATACATGCTGTAAATGAAATTGACACTTTGGAAATATACAGGGCAAAACTTGTTAAGCTCTGACTTACTGCTTCCCTACCCTCTGTCTCCTAGGGACGTCATTTTAAATAACGGGGTCTCATTCTGTGCCCTTACGTTTTACATAATCACAAATATTTTTACATATATCAGATCACTTGTTTTTAAGAATACCAAAGTAATTATTACTTAAAAGTTTTTTTTAATATTTTATTTTTTTCTGAGAGAGGGAGAGAGACAGCTGGAGCAGGGGAGGGTTAGAGAGAGAGGGAGACACAGAATCCGAAACAGGCTCCAGGCTCTGAGCTGGCAGAACCTGACGTGGGGCTCAAGCCCGTGAACCGTGAGATCATGATCTGAGCCAAAGTTGGATGCTTAACCGACTGAGCTACCCAACTGCCCAGTAATTATTACTTTAAAATGTTTATTTATTCAGGCACCTCTGTAACGCAGTCGATTAAGCGGCTGGCTTCACAGTTCGAGCCCCACATCAGGACACCTTGGAGTCTGCTTGGAGTTGGAGCCTGCCTCAGATTCTGTGTCTCTCTCTCTCTGACCCTCCCCCACTCATGCTGCGTCTCTCTCTGTCTCTCAAAAATAAATAAATGTTAAAAAATTGTTTTTTTAACATTTATTTATTTATTTATCTTGATGGAGAGAGAGCTTGAGCACGAACAGGGGACAGGTAGAGAGAGAAGGAGAGAGAGAATCCCAAGCAGGCTCCACATTCAGCACAGAGCCCAATGCAGGGCTTGATCTCATGACTGTGAGATCGTGACCTGAGCTTAAATCAAAGAGTTGGACGCTTAACCAACTAAGCCACACAGGTGCTCCCAAAGTAACCATTATTATGTATGCAATGAACAGTTGATGGAATTGGCCAATTTTAACAGGACAACAGTCAGGATCCCTAGTGATAGCAGGGCCAGAGGTAAAGTCCTCTAGGAGTCTTATTTTGTGATTAAGTAAGAATGAGGACTGTGTCAGTGGTACCTTCCTTCATGCATAGGCTATAAGTCATCATTGAGGCAGAAGAAGAAGGTGAAAGAGGATTCTGGGAGAAAGGTAGAGAAGGTGGTAACACTGGAATGAGTGTGGTCCAATGCAGTGAAAGGTAGTATCTTCCTCTCCCTTCTCTTCTCCCTTCTCCCCACTTGCATCTGCAGGAATTCCACTACTCCTGTGGAAGCTTCTGGGTCCACTCCTCACACACCTGCAGTGTCTGCTCCTTCCCTTACTGTGTTGCTTTCACCACCACCCCACCTCTGACCCTTTCCTCTGTGAGGTTTGAATAGAAGATTTTCAGTGACTGCCTTTTATTAAATCAGTTGGCTAAAATGAGGGAACTGCCATGCTTGTTGTTTAAGCACGCCCAACAAATGTCCATTTTGTTCATTAACGTATTCCAGATGCCTGGAAGAGAGCCTGGCACATGGTATACATTCTTTAAATATTTCTTAAACATGGGCCTGGGTGGCTCAGTTGGTTAGCATCTGACTCTTGGTTTTGTTACAGGTCATGATCTCACTTTTTGTGAGTTTGAGCCCTGTGTCGGGCTCTGCACTGGCAGCATGGAGCCTGCTTTGGATTCTCTCTCCTTCTCTCTCTGCTCCTTCCTATCTCTCCCTTGCTCTCTCTCAAAATCAATAAACTTTAAAAATATAATTATTAGGGCCACCTGGGTGGCTCAGTGGGTTAAGCGTCCTACTTCAGCTCAGGTCATGATCTCACTGCTTGTGGGTTCAAGCCCTGCACTGGGCTCTGTGCTGACAGCTCAGAGCCTGGAGCCTGTTTTGGATTCTAGGTCTCCCTCTCTCTCTGCCTCTCCCTCACTCACAGTCTATCTCTCTCTCAAAAATGAATAATAAATGTAAAAAAACTTTGTAAATAAAATAAAATAAAAATATAATTATTAAACAAAGGTTCAAATTTGTTGTAATTAGCTGAACTCACTCTGCAGCACATCAGATCTTTCTAGACATTGCTGGATTCCAGTGTTTCTTAGAGTATTTGCAGAAACTAATATATGGAGAAGGACCACTGTTTAGAATTCAACTGTAGGTCTCTTATTTGACTATAAACTATCAAGACTTAACCATTCAGAACACATACATATCATGACAATATATTAAATTCACAGAAAACTTATTTGTGGACTGGGATGATTAGATTCTAAGTAGATTATCTAGGAGACACTGTACTCTTTCCCTGGAAGAAAGGAGGGAAGGAAGAAATAAAAACAAGCAAGCATGCAAGCTTTTTGAAACCATTTCAACAGTGCCCTAAAAAAGTATGAGAGGGAGCTAAGAGAGGTCCTAAAAAGCAAAGCACAAATCAATGGCTGGTATGGTTTTCCACGCTTTATTTTTTCCCCAAGAGTCTAGTGAAGTTGGGTTATTATCTGTTAGTCTCTTTTTTATTTAGTAACTTATGTTTTAAAAATATTTTTAATCTTTATTCATTTTTTTGAGAGAGAGAGAGAGAGTGAGCAGGAGAGGGACAGAGAGAGAGGGAGACACAGAATCTGAAGCAAGCTCCAGGCTCTGAGCTGTCAGCACAGAGCCAACGTGGGACTTGAACTCATGAAAGCAAGTTTATGACCAGAGCTGAAGTCAGACGCCTAACCGACTGAGCCACCCATGGGCCCTAGTAATCTATTTTTCTTCTCTGAGAACCCATTTTATAAAATATCAGACTGAATCATATATATATTGACACATACTAAAATTATTCAAAAATAGTTCATTTCTGGCCAGCACTACATGTAAATATGGTATGTAATTTTGAAATTCCAAGATTAGAGCCTAATAAAGTTAGAGATGGCAGAGGGACCCCACCCCTTACAGAAAGAAGCATTAACACACCATGTCAGAAGGGGCATTAGAGGTCATCGAGTTGAACATGCCATGCCTTCTGTTAGATGCCTGCCAGGCATTGGTGAGCCTCCTAAGTGCTTCTGTAACAGGAATTTTGCAGGTGATTGAAGTGGTTGGTTAACATGCTGAATGCCTCTACTTGTCATGTGCTTCCTAATGTGGATCCAAAATGTGCTGAGTCTCATGCTCACATCCACATTTGGCTTCTAGCTCTAACTCCACTCTATGCATAGTGATCCTTAAGATACTTGAGAAGAGAGAAACATTGTCCAAGCTTTCTTTTGGAGAAGAAGAGAAAAAAAAAGTACTAAATCAGTTCCTTTGGTTCTTTTTCATATCATATGATTTCTAGGCCCTCTTTTGAGAAAAAATTGTGGGTAATCAGTATTAAAAAATATTTTATTTAATTTTTTTTAAGAGAGAGAGTGAGTAGGGGAGAGGGGCAGAGGGAGAGAATCTTAAGCAGAACAGGTAGTAAGTACTCAGTAAATGTTACCCTTGTTATTGACCAAAGATACAGCCTGCCTGGTGGGAAAAGGGAGGAGAGCATTGCAGCTAGAGAGGCGAGGGGACAACTGATGTTTACCTCAAGATTGGGGAAGTTGGCCATGTTTGAAAGTCAAATTGAGAGTTGGAGACAATGAGAGAAATGTATCTTGAAGGAAAGAAGTTAGAAGATAAGGCAGATGCCAAGTCTTGGGAAGATTGTGTTAGACTAGGAGGCAGAGAGGGAGGATTTTCATTAACAACCGTAAGTGTTTGAATCACATTCGTAAGTTACTTTATCCTCAAATCTTTAGAGGTTCTACTCAACGTAGGTTAGGTTAACCAAAGGCATCCACGAGAGCAAATTACAGCGGCTAAAAGCTTTCGACCTGGACTCAAACTGCCTGGGTTCCTCATTTTGCCACTTTTACTGATTAAGTGGAATTGGGCATATTACTTGACCTCTCTGACCCTCAGTTTCTGTATCAGTAAAATAGGGATAATAATAGATTCCCCCTCATGGGATTTTTTTTGAGGAAACATTGAGCAAATATATGCATGGGGTGCTCATTTACTTGCCTTGCCTTGGACATGGTAAGAATTCAAATGGTTGGCTGCTATACATTTTTTATAATTACATACATTACAACCAGAGGTCTGTGAACCACTCATTCCACAGTGGTTCTCAGATGAGGTCCCAAGACTGCTCAGTGTCCCTGACACCCTTTCAGGGGGTCCCTGAGATCAAAGCTATTTTCTTGATAATTCTAAAATGTTATTTGCCTTTTTACTCATAATGTCACAAGTATACAGTGGCATTTTTCTATGGTTTTATGGTGTGTGATGTCACAGCAGACTGAAACAATATGAAAAATCTATCTTCTTTGCTTTCAAGGCAGACAAGTATAGAGTTTTGCAAAAAAACGTGAAATTATGCCACTTTTTCACCAATTAAAAAATGTTTTAAGTTTATTTATTCATTTTTAAGAGAGACACAGAGAGAGAGTGATCAGGGGAGAGGCAGAGAGAGGGAGAGAGAGAGAATCCCAAGCAGGCTCCACGCTGTCAGCATGGAGCCCAAAGTGGGGCTTGAACTCCTGAACCATGAGATCATGACCTGAGCCAAAACCAAGAGTCAGATGCTCAACCAACCAAACCACCCAGGCACTCCCTTACCCATTTTTTTTTAATTTGGAAAATACATTTTTCATAAAAAGTTAATTATATTTAACATTTAATAGATTTAATCATGCCTACATAAATTTATAAATTTTTAAAAATATCTCACTTTTAATTCTAAATACTATCAGTGCCACTAGATATAACTCATATAAACAAAAGTCATTTGGGTTCTTCGATGATTTTAATAGTGAAAAGGAGTTTGAGACCAGAAAGTTTGAGGTAACTGTCAGAGTATTGTCCAGAGAAAACTGAATACAGTTTCCCCCCTTCTCTGGCTAAAGGGAAGTGCTGGATTGATACACAGAAATACTTTCTCTAGGGGTTTGGAACTCTGACCCTACATTTCTTCATTTTTAATCACATTGCATTCATATTTTTCTGGCCACAGTGGACTTAGGTCCCTAAAACCACTAGACACTCAGCTAGTAGGCCTCACCTTAGCCCCCAGCAGGGAACTCAGTGAGTGACCTCCCTGCTTGAAAAGTGTTTTTGAATTGTTAACAGCTAACAATTGCCATCCAAAAGCTCATCTCTACCTGCCTGTCTCACACTGGTGGCTCATCCGTACAATGCAATAATATTTTATCCATCTGAGGCAAAAGGCAACATCTTTTTGTTTTTGGTGGCTAACCCCATTTAACTTATGAATCCATATCTTTTGTAGAATGGTCATGGAGAAAATTTTGAATACTGGTGTAACAGTTATGAAGGATCAGAAGAAGAGTGTGAACCAACTGATAAAAGAAAAAGAACATGAAATGAATGTCTACTATTGTATGGCTCAGAGGCAGAAGCAAGAAGAGGTTCAGGAAGTGCTCCAAGAAGCTGAGAAGACACATCAGGCCACGCTTGGAAATGTAATGGATAAGCTGGTTAACACTCAGGGGGAGCTGCTGTCCGTAGCGAAACAACTAGGCATCATGACAAATTGGAAAGATTTCCTGGAGGAGGAATTACAGGAAACAAGGGCAGCATTTCAAAAATACATCAATTATACATTTCCTAAGCTTTCACCAGGACATGCAGATTTTATTCTGCCAGAAAGAAAGAAAACACCTTCCAATCTTATTATTCAGGAGAATGAAACAACTCTTGATTAGAAGAAGTCTTCAAGTGAAATCTCACCACAAAAGCCATTGTTCCAAAGACTAAATAAATTAGCTCAAAAACCATTTATTGATTCCCAGTTAAATGCAGGGAACAATGGGCTATGGGCATTTTGATGGAAAACCAAAATACTCAAAAAGCACATTCCAGGCTACGTTGAGTTCTAAATCTGAAGAGAGAAAAAAGTAAGAGAAACCAAACTATTTAGGAGGGGAAAAGGTTTCTTGGAAGAAATCGAAAGAAGCTTCTGTTAATGAGCTTTATTCATGTCTGCATCAGACATGTAACTACTTTAGAAATTGTTGCAGTTGAAAACAAGAGACATGCTTTCAGATTGTTCCCATTGTGGGGACCTGTGCTAACTTCCAGTAAAGATTATTTTTTAGTGAACTGCAATAGCATTGTGGGGGGGGGGGGAGCAATTTCCCTCAAACCCAGTAAGATAACACTTAAATTCTGGGATCCCTATATACAATAATTCAAAGAGGTTTCATTTATTTTGATATGTTGTGAAAGAAAAATACATCTTTATTTATTTATTTTTAAATTTTTTAGAGAAAGCACATGAGTAGGCCAGAGGGGCAGAGAGAGAGAGAATCTTAAACAGGCTCCAAGCTAAGTGTAGAGCCCAACACAGGGCTTGACCTCAGAAGCCTCGGACATGACCTGAGCTGAAATCAAGAGTTGGACTCTCAGTCACCCAGGCACCCCCAAAATACATCTTTAGAGTCAATCTCCTGCTTCAGGGATAGGAAGTCTTCTTGCATTTATACTCAAGCCCAAGAATGCTTTGAACCCACCTTCTTTCGGTTAAAATGCAGAAAGCTTCAGTACCACAATGCTCAGGACCAATACATGTCAGTGTCTACTAAATTAAAATGAAAGAAAACCCAAGCCATGATAAATTCCCTAAAAAATCTATCCACTGTAATGTAACATCCTTAAATTATTCATCACCAACTTTGGTGGCTTTGAAATAAAAACTTGGAAAGCATTTTTCAGTAAATTAAAAAATACTGTTCTTGAACAAGCCTTAAGTATATTTGTTTACATTGACCCTTCTTCTATTTCCTAATGGTAAAAATGGCAATTTGTTTACAATTGCGTAATGGACTTTACTCTCCTCAGTATTTAGCTTCCTGAGATTGCAGTACTAGAGCAATCCCTATAACTGATTGCCTATGTGCTGGAAGTAATAACATTTATATAGTGCTTTATGCAGCTTTTTAATTTACATTCTTCTTACAACACTTCTGTGAGAAAGACAGGACAGGTATTGCTGTTACCCTTTTTTTATAGATAACAAAATAAAAGCTACTATGTACTCAGGTATTTACATATATGAAGCACTTTAAAAACATTAATACTCAATCCTCACAATGACTTTTGAAGGTAATTATTATTGTCCCCTATATAGAGAGAGGGAAACCTAGGCCAGTGAGGTTTAATAGTTTTCCCCAGAGCACACAACTAATGACCAAGCCAGAGTTCAAAATATTACATGGCACAGGCACATCGATGCAGAGAGAGACCTACGGTTTTTCAGAATCAAGTGGGTAACAACAGCAACTAACACTAGGGAGTGTTAGCCTGTGCCAGGCACGCTGAACATGGTACACAAGAGGACTCATTCATTTTCACAGCAGTCTGTGAAAGGTACAAACCAGTAACACAGTCACAGATAGGTTAAGTCACTTTCTAAGTCATGCAGCTTGTGATGGTCACAGCCAGAGAGGATAGGTCTTCAGTCCATGGTTTTAGTCATTATTTTGTTCAGTCTGAATGCCAAGGCCTTGGTGCCTGGTTAGTACTCTGTAAGTCTGTATTGTGTCTTTGTGGGTTCTGTGATGAGAACAGGAAGAATGTGGTATGTTCTCTATGTCATGCATTATTTTTGTCTCATAGAAGTCAAAGAAAGTCATACCTAACATTGTGGTATCTAAGTTATTGGAGTCAGCCACCAGATTCAAATCTGAGCACATACCATAGGGAAACAGATGGAAACTGTCTTCTGAAGGGATTCACTTTACGGCCACAATTAAGCATGACTCTGGCATCAGTAACATAGTGGGTAACATGAAAAGAAAGCAGGCAATGTATTTTTGGTTTGAAAAAGGAAACCTAGGGGCACCTGGGTGGCTCAGTCAGTTGAGCGTCCGAATTCGGCTCAGGTCATGATCTCACAGTTGGTAGGTTTGAGCCCCGCATCGGGATCTGTGCTGACAGCTCAGAGCCTGGAGCCTGCTTCGGATTCTGTATCTCCCTCTCTCTCTGACCCTCCCCGCTCATGCTGTCTCTCTCTCTCTCTCAGAAATAAATAAAACATTAAAAAAAAAAAGAAAAAGGAAATCTAGCTTCTCAGTCTTCAATCAGATTGGAAGAAATTAAATTATGTGTTTTTAGTATTTTCCTTGTCCATACTGCAGTCCCTGCTTCTACCTCAATCCCAACCAACAGCTTCCTTAGAGCTGTCAAAGTAATTTGGATCCATCAGAGGACTTACATGCCCACTCTCCCAAAATACTAATCATCCTCCCGTCATAGGGGGTGATCAGAGAAAGTCCTATCAGGACAGATTGACCTGATCCTAGGTCCTCATTTGTCACTCACCTCAGAGTCTGGAGTCAGCACCAACCATGGTAGGAGGGTCTTCTTTCACTTCTCTTGTTCTCATACAGCTTTACCTCTCCCAGGTCCAGACTAAAGGAACGTCATCTTTGCTCTTACCCATATCCTTCACCCTGATTTGGTCACCTGAACCATAGTTCTTCCTCGTTTGAATGTTTCCCAGATAATATACCCCTGAGAATTAACAGTTCAAAGTGGATGCATAGTTTGCCCTAAAAAGCAAGAAAGGCTGACGGTAGACTAAAAATAAGATGTCACTCATATTTCCAGTGCCACATTCTATGGGACCTCTCAGTCTCTTGTTTCTATGGCATTGATAAGGATGACCCTGATGGATTAAAAAATGACACAATGGAAAATAGACCAATGTCACTGACTGAGCATGTGCTGGGTATCAGATTGTGTACTAGGTTCCTTACTAAATCTTAATGAAATCTGATAGCAACACTGTAATCTTCCTACGAGGACCCCACTTTGGGTGTTTTTTTTTTTTTTTTTTAATTAGTTTATTGTCAAATTGGTTTCCATACAACACCCTGTGCTCATCCCAACAAGTGCCCTCCTCCATGCCCAAGAGGACCCCCACTTTGAAAATGCAGCAGCTGAGACTCAGAGAAGCAAAGTCCCTTGCTGAAGATCACAGAACTTATTTGACTGCAGTTATTTGACAACTTATTTGACTGCAAGCCCGTGTGTTTTACAGCATGTCAGCCTAATCTAGTGCCTGTGTCAACACTGAGTAACTGCCAATTGTAGCAGGGAAATTCTGAATTATTGTGCAGAACCCTGGATGTTCCAGTAGCCATAGCTGAGAGCCAAGAATGAAGGGGAACAGAACTGGACAACTTTCCCCAAATGTGCTTGATGAGCTCTTCCAGATACCAAGCCCCAGGGGTGAATTTATGGAGGGACATACCCAATAGCCCCCTCCCACTACTCCAAAGTCAAGAAGGACAGATTCCCCCTGGGTTTCTGAAAAGATCAGTTGCCTGTACTCAAAGGTGAGAATCTTCAAGATAAGTGAAAATTGATAATGAGGTATGTTTTTGACATCTCAATGGGACACTCACTCCAAGGTTTTCTAAGGAAACTCAACTGACACTAAATCAGACTATTTTCAAAAAGATTCCTTGAGTGAACCAAATTTTTTTTTAGCACAACATGAGTTGAGAAACTTTAACTCTCCTGGTATCATTTACTTTGAGTACAATACCTAACGAGATCATTATAGACCTTAGATACTAAGCCCAATGGAAGTTATTAAAATTGGAAACATTTTGGAAACCTCTTTTAAGGAGACTTGAAGGAGTACATTTTTCTTAGTTGTTTTAGATGTTACCTATACAATAGAAGTGTATGCAGTTCCCATAGCTTCTGATATATAGGAAGCTATATTAATTCCTGGAAGCCATCTGGGAACTTAATCTGGGGATTCTAAGAAATGACTTCAGTTTAATTTTCTAGAAGTCATTCCACCACCACCAGCAAAAAATTTTGTTTTTAGAGAAAATAGAGCTGCAGGCTGGGAAACAGATGCATGGTACCACTAGGAGAGATGGAGAAGCCCCCGCCCATCTTCATCACATGGCACAGGAGTTGGGCTATTAAGTAGTCAAGGGACCTTTATGCTACAAAGAAGTCACTCTGATGTTTTCTCTCTCTAACTTGGATTCCTCTTGACCTATTTAAATCCTCCATATTCTAGTTCTGGGGGCCTTATTTACACTGATACCAGGTAGACACTATTGGCAAAATTTAGATTCACTTACAGATCAGAGTTTGACATTCAGTTGCCTCTAATAAACTCGTCTTGCTTGGCTGACATCACTCAGAAAAGGAAAGAACAAAGCATTGCCATTTGTGGTCCCGTTGTCATAAGCCAGGCAACGTGTGAGCGCTTCACCTGCATTATTCCACTTCTGCCTCACAGAAACCAGATAAAGAATTTCAGGCACTTTGAGGTTAGGTATTCTGCATGAGGTCACGCTATCTGAGAATTTGAGATGCGTTCAACCCATTGCTATCTGATTCCAAATTACAGGACTGAAAATAAGCAGGCTTTACTCTAGTTAGTTACAAATATAAACACTTTAATATTGAGTTGAATGAAGTTAAAATTACCCCCTTTTACATAGCAACTTCATGTTACGTCTTAACATTTTCAAGGATCCAAGTCTGTTAGTCTGCTTTTTTTTTTGTTTTTTGTTTACTCTTGACCATATGTGATATTTCCTATTTCTCGCTCTCTTCTTACTCATATGGGTGTCTATTTCCTGCCACTGGACTTTGAGACCTGTCTGCTGAGGACCCATACAAACTCCAGAGCTAGTCAGGATCCATGATATATAACTTTATACTGCATGGGTATTTCCTATCCCCTCACTCCTGACTCAGTCTTCCCAAGCAGGGCTACTTGTATCATTTTGCCCATTTGAAGGACTATCATTTAATTACATAATAGAATTATCCACAGTTATAGATTTCAGTTAGAAATCTCATGTTTCTTTTTTTTTTTAATTTTTTTTTAATGTTTTATTTATTTCTAGGAGAGAGAAAAAAAGAGAGCATGAGCAGGGGAGGGTCAGAGAGAGAGGGAGTCACAGATTGAAACAGGCTCCAGGCTCTGAGCTGGCAGTCAGCACAGAGCCCGACAGGGGGCTCCAACCCACGAACCGCGAGATCATGACCTAAGCGAAAGTCGGACGCTTAACCGACTAAGCCACCCAGGAGCCCCAGAAATCTCATATTTCTAGAACCTCTACGATCCAGAGAATACAATCTCTAGAAACATATGGGATATTCATTATTACTTTTGTTTATTCAACATGCATCAGGTATATACTGTATATCAGGTACTAGGTTGGATGCTTGAGTTCTTGGTACATGAGATAGATGGTAGTCTTTACTCTTGGAGAAGTGAGCCAGGTGAATAAAAAGATAATGAAGACATACGTTCAAATATTGTCAGTGGCAGGAGAAGCAACACTGATGCACTCACAGCCCCATTTCCTAATTCATGTTATGCTGTACTGGCAGATGTTAATATTTACCGTGAGCTGCCTTCTAGCCTGATTTTTTTTTTTTTTTTTGCCTAGTGCTAAGTCCTGTCCACGTTAGTGAAGGAATGGCATGATGCAAATTTTGTTCCCAGCCAAGTGATTCCTACAATCTGAAGGGAAAAGTTTCCTACTTCCCTCAGAGTTTTCTCTTCTCAAAATTGTCAGGTGGCCAAAAGGAGATGGTTATTTCGTCCACTGGTTTAGCCCAACAGACTCCTAGCTGATGAAATATGATCTCTGGGTTCTTAAAAGCCAAGGAGAATCCCAGCCTCTTTGGGAAAGGCCTCAGGAAGATACAAAAGAAAATCTTGCAACTATGGTCACTCAGTTCCAGGCAGCTGCAGAGGGTCATAGTCTGGCTTCATGCTCACTGGTCTTACAGATCCACTCAGTAGACTCTGGCCAGGAACCATCCTAAACATAACAGGTAAGTTGTGAGAATGAACTCCACTATTCTATTGTGAAGGAATTTAGACAAGCCAGTCTCCAAGAGGTATGTCCAATCACTCCCGGTGTCTCATCCTGCCTTATCTGCCTGCATAAGGACACTGATACACTGAGAAGACTTCTTGGCAAACAGGTAGTATTTGGTAATTCAGTCTACTTGAAGTGTGTATCTGATCTTGACTTTATGACTCATCCTAACTTTGCAACATAACAATATGCACAATATATTGTTAAGGAGATGCCTGGAATTATGTATCACTCTTTTTTTTTGTATTTTATTCCTTAATTTCTGAATAATTAATAAAAAATAATTTAATATTCTTTATTTCCAGATAAGAGGTGAAAACAATAAAAGAGGTTGCTATTGAAATAATTAACTGAAAATGAAAGATACTCTTTTGTATTAATATGGTTTTATAGGCTCTTTGGATCAGATAACAAAAGGCAATCATCGCATACCCTCTTCCTAATTCCCCCATATCTAAGAACTCTTCTCTGTGTTATTTACTTGATATTTGATTTAAATCTTTACTTAAGTAAACATCATGCTCTGGGAAGAAAGAGAGAAGGTAAGAAGAATTTATGGCCTCATGGAGACTGCCAGGGCAGAGTGGACATGCTAAAGCCAGAGAGAAGAGGGTCTGAGCATTTAAGAATGACCCCAGGGGCTAAGAACAAGAGTGGGCAGGAATGTGGTAGGGACGGGAAAGGAGGCAGGTATTGGCAGAACCTCAGCAAAAGTGAATTCCAGCCTGAGAAAGAAAGGCTAGATCCAGAGATATGAATGGAATTTGGAGGTTAGGTGGTTAGGAGACCTGGGGGTTGATTTGAAAGAACTAGGGTAATAGACTGAAGTTTGACTGAGGCTGAGAACACCTGAGGGATGAGTGTTTCATGCTGGGAGAAGAGTGAAAAGAAGGTGTTGATGGAAGCTGAAGAAATAGGAGGCTGGTGGAAGCATCAGGCTGGGAACTGAGACAGTACCCTAAGGTTGGGTTGAAGAAAGAGGGCCCGTGAGTACAGCATGAGAGCAGAACTGGGGAGGAGGGAGGTACCAGGAAGGCTAAGAAAGAGCATGCAGAAGGGTACAGAAGTGAGTGTGAAGGGCAAGGTTGCACTAAGGAGGAACAGAAGCCAGAGTGTCTGTTGAAATGGGGACGAGGTAGTGGTTTACCAAATATTCCAAATTTGAGGAAAATATAAAGCCACAGATTCATGAAGCTTACTAAACTCCAAACAAAATACATAAAAAGAAGCACTGAAGCACATCTATCAAACTGCTGAAAAGTAAGTGATCAAGAAAAAAGCTCAAATGCAACCAGAGAAAAAAGATACTTTACCTAGGGAGGAACAAAGAACCACAGCTGACTTCAAGCTTCTGATCAGTAACTAAACAAGCCAGAAAACAATGTAGCAACATCTTTAAAGTACTGAGAGAGAAAAACAAAACCAGTTCTACCCAGTAAAACATTCTGCAAAAATGAAGGCAAAATAATGACTTTGTCAGACAAACAACAGCTGAGCAAATCTATTATTAGCACATCTGCAGTATAATTAATATGCAAGAAAGTTCTTGAGGCAGCAGGAAGTGACATCAGATTAAAAGTTGGATATACATATGTTGCACATGAATGTAACCTCAGTCCTTCCACCTTGACCCAGAATTTACTTTCTGGGCCTGCACTTGGGAGGGCTACGTGACTATCTTCAGGTGCAAGGAAAAAAACAAACAGGTAAGACAAGGGGTAATGTTCCTGTTAATGGTTATTTATGACACAGTTTGCATATTTTGTCCTTGAGATAATGGCTATTCTCTTGAAACTCCCCCAAACTCTAAACCTTGCCTTCAAAATAACAAATGCTTGGGGCGCCTGGGTGGCTTAGCCGGTTAAGCGTCCGACTTTCGCTTAGGTCATGATCTCGCGGTTGGTGGGTTCGAGCCCCGCGTCGGGCTCTGTGCTGACTGCCAGCTCAGAGCCTGGAGCCAATTTCAGAGTCTGTATCTCCCTCTCTCTCTGACCCTCCCCTGCTCACGCTGTCTCTCTCTCCTAGAAATAAATTTAAAAAAAATTCAAAATAACGAATGTTTTCCTACATACCAGGATAAGGGCTGCTCTCTTTATCACTTTGTAGCCTTTTTACAATAACCTCAGTAAAACGGCTTCTGCACTGCCCACTTGACTGCTTGCTCCTGAAAAGCCCTAAGTCCTTGGGCTCAGGGCCACACACTTAGAGTTCTGTGTTAACTCTGTGTGGTCCTGGCCAGTAATAAAGACTCCCTTCATTCGGCCTCAGTGGTCTCGGTTGGTCTCTGTGTCTCTCGTTGAACACATAAAGGAATAAGGAATGTTGGGAGTGATAAATAGGTGAGTAAATGTGTAAGATATTTCCCTTCATTTTCACCTACTTATGACTGATTATTTGAAGACAAATAATGTATTGTGGGGGTTATAACATATGTAGAAGTAATATGTATGACAACAGTTACACCACATGGGAGAAGGGAGATGGAAGCATTACTGTAGTAAGACTTGTTGCGGACGAAATGACACAAAGGACAAGACACACACAAAAGACAGACAGAGACACAACTCCGGCCGGAGAACAATTCCACGCAAGCCCCTCTTGCGGTTTATTTTATACCCCGGTAACTGGATACAAACTGAAATCTACAAGATGCATTCCTTTACCAATTAAGGGCAAGTAGCCAAACACATTTCAAGGACGGTGGGGGGGGGGGGGGGCAAAGGGAGGAAGCGACCACAACATGTTTACTAAGAGGCCTGCCCACAATTCCAGCCTTCTCCTTACTTCTAAGGAGGGCATGTTCCCTCGTTTGCGAGCGGACCATTAAACTTGGATATTGTGTGCAGGCCTCCTTGCAGGCATGCTTTGCCCAGGCAGGGAGCCCCGTGTGCAGGCACATCCCTGCGTCCCTAACCACGCTTTCTTGTGGTCACTGTCGGGCTCCCACAAGACTCTTACACACCCGTGTGAAGTGGTATAGTATTTGCCCATGGTAAGTTAAAGATGCACAATGTAAGTCCTAGAGCAACCACTGGAACAGAAGCAGGTAGTGATAGCAACTAAGCCAATAATGTACGAACGGAACCACAAAATATATTCAATTAATCCAAAAGAAGGCAGAGAAAATGGAACAAAGAGAGGAGATTAATAGAGTATGAATATTGGTATGGCAGATTTCCCCAGCTATATGGATGCTTACATTCAGTGTAAATGGTATAAACACTAATTACAATGCAGAGAGCATCTGATTGGATAAAAAAGCAAGACTCAACGATTCGCCACCCACAAGAAATCCAAGTTAGGTATAAAGACACAGAGATAGGTTAAAAGTAAAAGGATGAAAAATGACAATTCCATGCAAACACTAGTCAAAAGAAAGGTAGAGTGGCTATATTAATAATAGGCAAAGGAGATTTAAGAACAATCAATCTTATCCGGGGAAAAAGGGACATTTCAAAATGATAAAGAGATTGGTTCATCTGTTTCTCGCACAGAAAGTCGTGACACCGAGGCTTTTCTTTCCAGGAAGCAACTTTATTCGTGCCGGCACCACTCAGTTGGGTTCCTACCCAAAAGAACTGAGTGGTCCACCTCATATGGCATAGTTTTTTTTTTTATAGATTTTCTATTTCTTTGTCTCCCATATATGGTAACACACATAAACATGCAGTCTGATTAAGTTGTTTCAGTTTACAAGAACATAGGGGGTGTAGGCAGCTGGACACATATCTAGGTGACCTTGAAGTCTTCTCCCCTCTCTTCTTCATTTTTTTCTTTCTCCTTAGGGAGGGGTTCCTACCACAAAAACAGTTGAAAGTATATGAAATATATTCTTTAATTACAACTGAATTAAATTAGAAATACAGAAAGAAGGGAACTTGGGTGGCTCAGTCAGTTAGGTGTCCAGCTTCGACTCAGGTTATGATCTCACGGTTCATGAGTTCGAGCCCTGCCTTGGGCTCACTGCTGTCAGTGCAGAGCCTGCTTTTGATCCTCTGTCCTTGTCTCTCTCTGCCCTTCCCTTCTCTTTTTCTCACAAACAAATAAACATTAAAAAAAAATAACAGATATGTGAAAAATCCCTAAATATTTGGAAACTAAAGAACCTCTGAAGAACCCACATGTCAGAGAACAAAGCATAAGTGAACTTAGAAAATATTTTGAACTCAAAAAGCAAGCCACAAAATAAGGGGGAACATTTGGGAAATATACATCTGATTAAGGGCATGAGTGCAGAATATGTAAAGGACATTCACAGTTCAGTAAGAAGGCAAACAATCCTCCCTGCTAAAGTTTGAACCCTTTACCAAAGGAGATATACAAACGGCAGTTAGGGGAGCCTAGGTGGCTCAGTGTGTCAGGTGTCCAACTCCTGATTTTGGCTCAGGTCATGATTTCATGGTTTGTGAGTTTGAGCCCCACATCGGGCTCTGCAATAAGAGCATGGAGCCTGCTTGGGATTCTCTCTCTCTCTCTCTCCTCTCTCAAAAACAAATACATTAACGTTTTTTAAGACGGCAATTAAATACATGAAAAGCTATTCAGAATTAGTATTGGGGAAACACAAATAAAACCACAGTGAGACTCTCGGGCCCCTGACCTCCTTGCCTCCTCTGCGGCCCTGCCGGTGTGGGTCTCCCCCTGCTGGCTGCTCGCCCCCCTCTTGCTGCTCCGCGCCAGGGTCGGCACTGCGCCCACAACACACTTGCCAACTGCACTTAGCCCCTGAGCTGCTGGGTACCGGGTCTTCCAGGCGGGCCCTGATGGTTCCCAGCACGTGTCAACTGCTGGATTATGGGACCGCTAGAAGAAAAAGTAGTGGTGTACCTTGAGAAGCTGGACATGGCGCGGCAATGCTGGCCTGCCGGAGGCCGGCTCCAGCAGGTCCCGGGTCCCTGAAGGAGGGACAGTGTTGGTGAGGGAGGGAGGGAGGGAGGGAGCCACGAGATATTCTTTCTGGGCACCAGGCAGGCATCTCCGCTCTGACTGGGGCTCAACTTTATAATTAAGTGTTTGGGGGACGGCACAGAAGTGGCATTTGCCTAAGACAATGATTTCTGATGACAAATTTCTTTGATACGGAAGAATTTCCCAGAACGTAGATTTGTAGAAGACTCCTGCATAACCTTTATCAATAATGATTGAGGCAGGGGATTTAGATGCTTCTCCTATGGGGAAGGAAGGTATCGTTAGCACAGAAGACACTGTTTTCTGCATAAAAAGGGTGAAGTTAGTTCTTTGTGAGCAGGGGTCAATAGCTTGTTTGCTTAAGGGGAAATATTAAGAAAAACAGGTCTTTCAGGAAATACAGTGTTTGCTCCCATAATCACAAAAGAAGTTCCTATAATAGGTTCCTTCACAGGGTGCAATCAGCATATTCAAGGCCAGAATAAGTCACTATGAATACTGATCAACAAAGATGCCTTGGGCGTCAGTGCTCCAAGCAGAAACAATTGGGTGGGGGTGGATATCGGTGCAACTTACCTTAACCTCATAGGGAGTTCTTTCTCAACCTATGAGCTCAGAAATGACTCCCAACACTGGCCATCTCACCATTTACAATCAAGGCTTTGAGACTGTGTTAAATACTACAAGTGGTTTGCCTTTTTTTTTTTAATTTTAGAGAAAGAGAGACAGAGCACATGAGTGGGGGAGAGGAGTGGAGGGAGGGAGAGAGAGAGAGCGAGAGCGAGAGAGACAGAGAGAGCGAGCAAGCTCAGCATGGAGCCCCATGTGGGGCTTGATCCCATGACCCTGGGATCGTGATCTGAGCTGAAATCAAGAGTGGGTGCTCAAGCAACTGAGCCACCTAGATGCCCTGGTTTGCCTCTTTTAAGTTATTGAATACAGTGTCTGTTAAGGGGCTCTTTTATTTTTATTTTATTTTTATTTTTGGAGGGACTCTTTTTGAAAGACAGCCAAAAACAGACTTTGGGTCTAAGAGGCAGGGCAGCATGCAGCCGTGGACCTGCCTACCTCTAACAGCTAGACGAGGCTTCTAGCAGGCCTGTATGTGCACATCTTAATGCTGAGGAGTCCTGATGACCAACCTCCAAGGCAGCTGCCCTCCTGAACATTCCCTTGGAAAGCAGCCACGGCCATTTTGAAATGGGAACAGCCAGAGACTACACAGAAAAAGAAAGAAAAACCTGGGAAGTCCTTAGGTGACTTCACCATTCAGCCTTTGAATAAAAGGATCAATATGCAACTCAGGCTTTTCTCTTTGGGGTATTCAATTGAAATGATTTTTCCAAACTGATTAGGATTTGAATTTTGTGTTTCATTTTGTTCATAGTACAAATTTTATTCCCTGTTAAATGATCTTCCTGTGTGCCTTCTTCCTCTAATCACCTTGAGGATCCCCAGCCCATACTATAGAGGAAATAA